GCAGAGTTGTCACTCCCATGGAGCTTTCACTGCTTGTTCGGGAACTCACGTTTTTGAAATAAAAAATGTTTGAGGAATGGTCCCAGCAGAGCCGATAGTTGCTTCTGCTAACTCAGGAGGCAGGCGTTTCTTGGGCAAGTTGTACAAATACAGTGAGAGCCTCTGGGCTCATCAGGGATAGCGTGACCCTGCTCTTCGTCCTTCAGCATCCCATACAGCAGCATCCACCCAGTCCCGTTCCTAAACGGCATCTCACTTCTAAATAACAAATGTTAATTATAGCGTTAAAAAACCCCAGGTCTGCAAAGTCTCTACAGTCAAGCTCTCCAGCAAGGCATGGAGGGTAGGCTTAGGAGCACACGTCACACCTCCTGCCAGGCAGCCTGACGTGTCTGTCTGGCACGCTGGGGCCGGTGAGGACTGTGTGTTGAGGGCAGTAGCTTGGGGCAGGAGTGCTGGCAGGCTGGTTGGCACCTTGAAGATCTGGCCTCTTCATAAGTGCTTCTATCCCACCCTTTGGTGACACCGTGCACGTCTCCGAATGCCGTCAGTTCCCTCCTCCCTGTTGCGTGCAAGCCCTGGATGCTACCTGCCCGTCCCTCCCTCTGTTCCCGCACAGCATCAGCCCTGTGATGCAGCACTGAAGTAATGCAGAATAAACCAATTTAAAACAGTAACTATGAATTTCTTCCCTGAGGAGCCTTCTGGACAGTAAAGGGATTCACAGCTGACCCAGGAGGAGCTGTGAGAAGTGACCCTGCATCTTTTTGCAGGATGGGATCACTCAAAGCAGTCAGTGGAGCACATGAAAATAAAACCAGGAGTAAACTTGCTTAAAAACCATCGAGGTCAGGCATGCTCAGAAGATCTAACAGCACCATGTGGTAGGCACTAGAGCCATCAGATCCTTCCCATGCTGCAGAGTGGGGTGTGTGGACCAGCATACACATGCGCTCCATCTCGGTCAACTTGGCAGGACATCTATACGTCCCAGTTCCACATAGGTGAGTAGTGTCTGCAAATAGAGTAATTCACTAGTGTTACTAGGTCGTCAGTTTTCTCAATGATCTCCTGTTTATATATGGAGTTATTTTGAATCTACCAGGCTTTACTTTGCTTAGCTTCTGAAATCTGCTCGATGGCATCACACGATGATATGGCTGCAAGTTTCAGCAGTCTCCTCCCTGCCAGCTGTGCTGGAGAACAAGCAGCTGGTTGTGCCAAGCAGAGCAGCCCCGACCATGGGCTGTGATGGGAGAATATTCCATTGTAACACTCTGTTGTGTCCTCTGTGTCTGACTGCAGAGGTAAAATGACATAAGAGTAGCAAGCTGCAGTGACTCACCATGCTGCTCGTGTGATTTACAGCGGCTCCCTAAACGACGTTTTTGCTCAGCATGCCACATAACCCATAATTGCAAACATGTGAGTAGACAAAAAGTACATTTTTCCAATTCCGTGTTATTTAGCATCAAGCGATCTCTGATGACTAAACCAGATGAAAATATCTTTGTATGGGTATATTGTCACCTTTGATCTAATTCTTTTTATCTCGATCTCTCCTTCTTGATGCAGTATTTTCTACAAATTCTTTGTCCTGCTGTCTTCTTTTTTTTCATGCTAGCCAAGGATATTTAATTTTTGCGCTATTCCAGTGTCTCTTGCCAAGATTAATACTCCAGCTGCCTGGAAACTCTGAATTCCTTTGTTTTGAATTCATTCTTGTCGTCTTTGAACGACTATACATCTTCTCTCCTATCTCTATGTCTGATCTTTCAGAATCATTTTTTACATATTTTAGCCAAACTTTTCTCATGGATGCTTCTTTTCTTTCCATCTGTTTGCTCCTTTTCTATCAGCTCCCTGTCTGTATTCAGCCTGCACTGCCCTTTCCTCTTCCAAATGGTTGGTTTTTTCCTTTTTCTGTAGGTAATCCATTTCTTGCATAGTTTCTTCATTTATTAATTGCAAATCAAGAGGTCATCTTTTCTGTCTCGCTCTACTACAGGCCAGATCAGCCTAAGTCACCCCTGATGGGTGCTTTTTCAGTGTTTTCTTCACTTTTTTTCACTGGTGGGAAATTGCACAGCTTCCCATCCCTTCAAGTTCAGTGCCACAACGTTACTCCGGTAGGAAAAGCTTTTCATCTGTGCAGGGAATGTAGGTTAAGGCAATTTAAGCCCATTGCTAATTGTCCTATCATAAAATTGGAGAACGGATTATCCCTTCTCTCCTCTTCCCTGATATCTTTTATGTGCATGAAGGTTGTTATCTTTTTTACTGTCAATCTTTTTCTAGCCCAAATCACCATATTTCTTTCAATTTTTCCCCATTAGTCACGGTTCCTAGAACTGACGTTGCTGTTGCTCCGCAGTAGGCAGCCCAGTCGATGTGCTCTCAACGGGCAATTCTGGCCGCTGCCCCCAAGTTTTTGCTGTTACAGCGATACTTCTTGATCGTGATTTTCACAAGTGACGATATTCAGCTGTTCTGAAATGCCGCTTCTGACGTATCAGAGATTCTTTGATTTGAAGATGGCAGTTTTAAGAAGAGGGCAAGGGGATTTGGCGTTTGATACTCTGAACTCATCGGCAGCTCATAGCGTTAGAGGAAGAGAGTACCTTCGGTGGGGTGGGGTGGGAAGCTTTTGCCTTCAAACTTGCTTAGATTTGACTTTCTTGAAAAACTTCTGTAGTTTTAAAATGCTGCGGTTAGTTATCTGTGAGCATTCAACAATTTCCCTTAGGAAGTTTGTCAGAGAAATGGGAGGAATGAATCCACCTGATTGAAACTCAAAAATCCTTTATTCGTGGTAATCGTTTGTAGGCAGGATGCATGAATTCAAGCAAAGTTGTGGCTGAAAGGTAACCTATAAAGCAAGCACAGTGTGAAATCTGTGCTAAGTTTATGGGAATTGTGTTGCCTTTTCTTTTTTTCATTATTTAAAAAAATACTACTTATGTTTAAAGAAAAGACTCTTGACATTTGAAACTCTTCTACTAATGTTTTCCTGCCCTGGTGAAGGGTTTCTCTGTACAATTCAACTTCAAGAAGCCCTTGAGGATTTGCTGAAATCAGTCGGGGATGTATTCATACAAGTGTGTCCCATTCTGCCTTTGGATTTCGTAGTTACTTTCTTAAGTAAAAGTCTGGTAATCATTGAGACAGAAAGGCTGCGATCATTTGGAAATCACTATACCAAATTGGCACTTCTTTTACTATATCTGTAACCACCTACTGTGTACTGGCACACGTAGCCGGGGTTTCCAAAGGGGTCGTAAAAGCTGTGGGGCCGTACATCAGTGGTGGCGGCTGTGGGTCCTGCGGGCACCAGTGACACCATTGCTCAGGGAAGTTGCTTCAAAGCACAGCAAATAAAACCATCTATTTTTAAAGAGGTTATTAGAAATACTAGCTATGCTGTTACTTGTTCAATAAACACGTGAAGAATCCAAAGAGAATTTACAGCAGTGCTTCAGACCTCTTGGACTTGTCAAACTCATATAAATTAAGGGGAGCAGTACATGTTTTCTGGGTTGCACATTGCTGACTTTGATAGTAGGAGATAACTTTTACTAGTGAAACTTTAAACAAAAATAAACATACAAAGCAATTTTTTCCTGGAGGGAACATGATAGCTACCATACTGTCTGGAGCAGCATTTTATCTAAAACCTTTATCGAAATTCTAGTCTTTCATGTCTTGCAAGCTGTTATGGAAGTTTTGTTCATGCCAAAGGAAGAATAAAGGTAGTAATGTGTGTGTATATATATATATATGCATGATCACAAAGCAGGCACACGTCTAGGATGGCCTAATGGACGGATTTTTGCAATGTTGCTCTTCAGAGGGAGGCTGTCAGGCTGTGCCGGTGTTATTTGGTATGTCACTGGTGTTGTTTGGTATGTCGCCGGTGTTATTTGGTGTGTTGCTGGTGTTCAGGTGGATCCTCCGGAGCCAGCTGATCCGTGCCCCCGTAGGAGCCCCGGCGCCGGGCTGGCTCCAAGCCTGCCCTCAGCTTTGGGGAGGCAGAGCCGTGGTGTTAGAGCTCTAGATTCTAGGGAGAGCATCGTCTGTTTGGAAATTCTCTCAATGGGATTTAATAAAAGCATACCAGTGTTTTTCCTAGCTCTCAGATATTTTAGTTTGCTTCGTTGCATCTGTAAAATTATTTTTTTAAATCTATGTCAGCTTTTACCTTTTTTTAATTAAAGTGGCAGAAACATGCCAGGCTATTGCTCTGGTCATAATATATTTTTCAGTAGAATTTTTTCTTTTTTTGCAAAAGATATTTAGGATGTGGCATTGTGCTTATGTAGCTGTCCTCATCCAGAAATGCACTCACGACAAGGCAGCCCGTGTTGAGGACTCTGTGCTTCTCTTCTGAGGCAGCAGTGGCTGAGTGGGTGTGCAGGCCATATGCTCTATCGGAGTCGTTTTGAAATGAAATACTTTTAATAAAGAGCCTATGGTATGTGATCTCTTCTGGTTTCAGGCAGGGGACTCTGGAATTAGCTTGCAGCGATGCTTCCTTCTGTTGCTGGGCCCCTTGTGCTGTGAGGACCGTGTCCCGGTGAAGCTGGATCAGCTCCAGCCGGGGCTGTCTGATGGCTACGCAAGGGACTGCTCCCCAGTTTTCTCCTGTGCTCCCGTCCCTCCGTGGGATCCCTTTCCTTCTTTTTCAGAGAGCTCTTGGTGCGTGCTGAGCTGCCTTAACTGATGGATCGTGTTCAGGCCACCAGGCCAGACCTTCTCTGTTGGTCTGCAAGAAATATTTGGGTCTCGTGCAAAGGATGTAATAAAGAATGCAAACCGCAGAGGATGACGTATATAGATAACCATCGCTGAGCAGGCTGGCGTGTTAGAAAACCCTCGAGGAGGGCTTAGCCATTATCCAGGTCCATGGCTTGGTTTCATGAGTTACGTGCATACCTTCAGATCTCTTTGAATGTTCACTTGTGTGTGAAGTAACCGTGGCTTCCTCCTGTTTTTCAGGAGATGACTTTTCATTGATACAGCAAGAAATATATATGGTTAAAGAATGCAAACATTGCAACATAGTCGCCTATTTTGGGAGCTATCTCAGGTAAACCCCTCTTTCTATACCTTCCTTTCTGCTGGTTCTTTCCTAAAACAATGCTCAGTCTGGTTTAGTGCTTATATCCTCTCTCAATATTCTTCTCTAGGTCGAATTCCCTTCAGTTCCCGTTGACTTTAAAGAGAGAGAGAAAAAAAAGTGACTAATACTTTGTTTTCTCTGCTGGCCAAAAGGCTGGAATATTTTTATCACTAGGAACAGAAAGAAACTTTTCCCCTAGAGATGCTTGCAACATATCCAATCCTACTCACTTTGAGGCAGATATTAAATGTTTATCAGTTCTAATATAAAACTAGCTCATTATTTATCTAGAGCAAAACTGCTTTTAGATATTTTATTAATGGTAGTCCTGTTTGCTGTGGAAGTATAGCCAGTGAGTTGTAAGAGCAAAACACTAAATCTGAGCTGCTGGTAATAACATTTTTCATAGTTCTGGTGTAACAGATGCGACGTACTGAGAGGCAGAAACAAGGTGATGCCAGCTGGCTGCATCTTCAAGTGCACACGTTAAATGTTACGCAGAAAGTTGGGGAATATTTTCCATTTTTGTGGAACTCTGCCATTTATCAGTTGGCTCTGTGGGAGTATGTATCACCACTTTGCCTGCTTGGGCTTTTTCTGCAGGGCTTCGTCTTTAGATTTCTTGGAGGGCTGCATTTTTTAATAATCTGTACAGCCCAAATGGACTTCAGCTGGAACAAAATGGCTGAATGTCTAAATCTTTCTAAATCTTTTGGAGGCTGTGAAGAGTTTTTTAGATATAATTAGGTAATTTCAATTTAAGATTGAAGCTATGAGGTTAGTGTATTATCTAATGTAATCTTGCTGATAGCAGATAAACCTCAGGTGTTTCTTCTATGTGTTCTTTATCGCAGTTAGGAGGTCAAAGTTAAAGCAACACCTTTTAGGTCTGATAACATGTAAAGACTTCTCAGTGACTTTGGCGTAAAATTTCCATTTTGATAGGAGAGAATTTATATTGAAATTATTAATAACGTGTAAACCATGTAACTGCTAGTCACGTATCGGAATGTGTATTTTTAACAAAGACCAATAGAAAATACTTCAAATAATCGTTATTAACCCTGTTCTGTATACAGATCAATCAGCTTCTGATGCCTGTGTTTTAACTTTCTTTTGATAGCCGTGAGAAGCTGTGGATATGCATGGAATACTGCGGTGGAGGATCCCTCCAAGACATTTACCATGGTACTTTGAAACTTACTTTAACATTTGTACCTTTTGGAAGCTTTCTGCAAAGAAGAAAAATAAATAATAAGCAAACTAATGGGGAATGGTTGGTACTGGCCAGGCACTGCATGTATTTTTTTCTTAGGATATGAACAGTGTTTTTTAGCTACAATCAACAGATTTTGTTGAGAGCACTTCTCAAATATGGTGACCATCATTTTGCGCTAACACCCTGTCGTTCTAGGGTGGAACACGCTTTATTTTTTTTTCCGTCATCGCACTGTTTGTGTTTTTCTTCACAATGCTTAGAGGACTGACCCAAAGAGCTCGAGTTATTCCAATGGAGAGCTCTTCAGTAGCTGCAGCTGGTATACGCTGGGAGCTCACCTGCACCTTGGTTTCTCTCGGCCCGTGTCTCTGAATGCCGTATGCAGAAGCAGGTTGTCCCCTTTCTGAAGGGGTGGGGGAAAGACCTGTAAAAAAAGTTCACAACAGGAATCACGCTAATTGGATATGGAGACTGTGCATGGTGTGAGGAAGCAGTTTTTACCGGGGAATCTCAAAATTTGATCTTTAAAGGGTAAAAATTAGTCTTATTCCTGCTCCTATGCAGCACCATATCACTCTTCTATTATTCTTTTCCCCTCTGAGGTTTCATCTAGAGTTGTTGCTTCTGTAGAAGGATTTATTGGAGTTGTTGGAAAAGCATTCTGGGGACTTGCTCTGCCTTTAAATGATAACATTGAGTTTTCAAATACCAGAGCTCTTTCTGCTTTATTTTTCAGCCAGTTAGTACAAATAGCTTTAAAACAATTCTAAGTCCCATAGGCCCCTAGTACAGAAGATTGTCATTTCTGATGTTAAAAAATTAGCGGAAGTCACTTTTATTGTTTTTTACATTCCCCAGAATAGAGGATATTACATTACTACGAAGGCACTTGTAAAATGATAATTAGATTTCTGTGAAAACAGGTTTTCTTCTCACTGTGGGTATTGTCTTCTGTTATTGTGCTGGGTTTTTTTACAGAAAGCCTTTCTGTAAAACAAGCAAACAAAACCCTCTTTTCAGCTCAATGTAAAATACAGTTCATGTAAAATCGGTCTTTAACTTTTGCATGGAGGTACCGCTTTTTGGCTGTTTCACAATGTTATTTATGTGTTGTATATTGTAGACTTACATGCTTTTTAATCTTTGTTTTCAGTTACAGGACCTCTGTCAGAGTTACAAATCGCATATGTATGCAGAGAAACTTTACAGGTACTGTACTTCTATAGGTAAAGTGTTTGCTCCAGGTATAGAAAGCAGATACAGAATATGATCTCAGAAAGCGCTGTAGCACCATCACTTTTCTAAGCACTGGGAATCTAGCTGAAACCAATTAACCAGGGTTAATCTGTTAATTTCCATATTGTGAATGAAAATTAGCAAGAAACTTCGGTAACGTAGCACAAACATTTGCTTAAAATCATTGTCAGAGCAGTGCTGCTCCTGTGCTGTACTTTGCAAAGGAGTTTACACAAGAGTCAATATCTCTGAGGATCCCAGTGCAGGACCAAAATACTGAACCTCAATCCTGCTCCTGTTTCTTCCGTGAGCCTGCTGGTTTTGGGGAAACAGTGGAAGACAGAGCTGCACAGGTTGTGACCACGGTGTTGTCTGAGCTATTTTCCTCTATTGATCTAACGCAGTGATTCAGGGCAGCAGTTCTTTAGGACAAGTTTTTGAATCTCATTGCAGAAAACAGCTAATACCTAGTAAGCAAGGGTAAGTAATTGAGTATTTTAAACTGCCTGCTTGATGCATGGCAGTAAATTCTAATAATTTGTAGAGAAAAAATACTGCAACCTGATGACTAAGGTGCTTTCATTTTGTGCCTGCAGATAACTGTAGAAATACAAGATAAGATGATGCAGGCAGCTTGTTTCTTAAAGGAACTTTTCTTTCTCTGCTTTGTGTATCCGTGAATAATTACGTGAGAGAATGACGGGGATGCACACCTTTCCCTGAAGCAGTGGCTGACCTGATCGCTGCCAGAGACAGGAGTGTAGACCCATCAACTAATCTGCTTGGCAGTTGTGTTCCTGATCTCTTCATACTGCAGGAACTCGTATTGCTGGAAGGGCAGCTTAAAGGCTAAACACCTGCTTGTTAAAACCTTCAGGACTTCAAAAATATAGTTAATTTTAGTAAAGGGAAAAGGTGATGAATCTTGAGGTTTGTTTTGAAAGTACACATATGTCTATGTAAAATGTCACACCGTGACTGCTTTAAACGAATCTTCATATCTATTGGCTGGAGCTGCGAGAGATGAAAAACAGAATCCAGCGTACCTGTCATCTGCAAATCTCAAATTTCTCCTGATTTCAAATAAAATACATTGAGTAATTAAAATTTATTAGATGAGACTGGCTTTGTAGCATGTTAAAAAAGCGGCAAAATGACGTGTTGTGTCTCTTTTATTTCCAGGGTCTTGCTTATTTGCATATGAAGGGCAAAATGCATAGAGATATAAAGGTAACTTGGAACTTTGAGAAACTTATCTTAAACTTTCTAGTGCAGAAAAATATTCCTGATAAAGATTTTTAACTTTCTATTTATTACGTTTTAGGGTGCAAATATTCTTCTAACAGACCATGGAGATGTCAAATTAGGTAAGTTGCCTGAATTTAATAGTGAGACAGAAAGCAAATGGGAACATATTAATTTGATCAATCAAAAGCTACAGTACAAGCTGGGATACTTTGATTTAGCAAGTTGCCTCCCAAGAAGAAAATTCAGCTTTTGTAAGGCTTTGTTTTGTGTTGAACAGCACATGCACAGCAAAGATTGAGCTTGCTACAAGCGATAAAGCATAATACAGCAGATCTCCTGTATTGTTGCAGTCAATTTTATTAGATGCTGTTCTCAGTGGCATGAACCTTTTGGTGTTGCACTGTAGGACGTTCTTCTTTGAGGCAATGGTTGATGATAGAAAGTGCCTATTTGTGGGCTTGTGTATGTATGAGAGAGAAGTTTTGCATTCTATCAAGAAGTCATAGATAATTTCTTTTTTCAACCACCAAGCCTTGAAGCCTCTCAGGTTTCCCTGGAATTTGCCAGGTTGGGGTTACCTGGATATCAATGTGTTTATTCCTAGCCAGAATGGCAGTTCTTCCTCAGAGCCTCCAAGGATCCACTGCGTGAAACAGCATCTCCTGAGCCTGGCAGCCTGTGGAAAAGTGAGGTCTGATCCTGGCTGTGCCTCTAGGCCAGTGTATGATGTTGGGCATTTCCATGCAGGTGGAGAAGAGGAAACTCTCCTCCTTTGCAAGCGCTCTGAGGTCTACAGATGAAAACTGAGAAGAGATCTGTATTCCTGGCTTCCTTCAGTGACGCTTTGCATTTAGCGCAGCACAAACAGCCTGAATCTTTTGTTACCTGAGCGCGTTGCCTTCAGAACCCCTATCTGCTTGTCTGATGCCTCACTTCACAGAAGTCTACATGTAGTTAGGAAGTAGAATCATAGAATCGTTATGGTTGGGAGAGACCTCAAAGATCATCAAGTCCAACCGTATACCCGATGCCACCATGCCCGCTAAACCCACTAAACCATGTCTCGAAGCGCCACATCTAAACGTTTTTTGAACACCTCCAGGGATGGTGACTCCACCACCTCCCTGGGGAGCCCGTTCCAATGCCTAACGACTCTTACAGTGAAGAAGTTCTTCCTAATATCCAACCTGAACCTCTCCTGGTGCAACTTGAGACCATTTCCTCTTGTCCTAAAGCCGTCTGCTCTCCCTACTTCTGCAGGAGATAGGGAGCAGACATCCTGGGAGAAGGAGTGAGATCCTCATCATCTTACTGCGTCCGGTGTTGGAATCAGGGTGGCTGTGCATTAGCTGCATCGCTGCTCTTCAGAAAAGCTGTGTGGTTCAACATGTTTACTCCCCTGTGGTGAACCAGGAATGCTGTGCTAGGAAAGTACAGCTTTTTAAAGAAGGGGAAAAAAAATAAATAGTAAAACCTTGAAACTGATAAGAGATTCCACTAACTGCATTAAACTGGAGTTACACGCTGATGCCTTCCTTTTGCCTGCTAAGCTAGTTAGATTTGCCCACAGTTATCCTCCAGCTATCATACCACAAATGCAATAAAAATAAAAAGGACTTAAATGATTTTTGGCTCTGCAAGATCACCTGATTATCTGCAGCTCTGAGAGCAAGGGATTATTGTCCTCTAGACAGAGTCTCCAGAAATGAGAACAGATGCTCCCCCCTCCTCGCCCCGAGTTCCTCCATAAGTAACACAGAAATAGTACCGTTTCCAAAGCATGATGCTATTTTTCCTCTTGAATATTAAATCAAATATCCACTAAATTTTGTGAGGTTGCTTGGTTGCTGTATTGTGAGATGGAAAAATAGCTAGGAGAGGAACAGGATCATGAGTGAGTTGTATGTAGAAACTAAACTTTTCTGTTTGAAGTCATGTCAGTGAAGACATTAGCTGATCTCATTAATCTTTAACTGTTGAAGCTTAATGAATTTTTAATTTCCATGAGAAACGTGATTGTTCTTTCATAGTATGATACTTCCTAGAGTAGAATTGGGGTCTTAAAATGAGATTTTGAAGTCTATGGTAATTTTATTTTCCAGCTGATTTTGGTGTAGCAGCAAAAATAACAGCCACCATTGCGAAGAGGAAATCATTTATTGGTACCCCTTACTGGTAATAAACTACTTTGATTACTATGATTGTATGCAAAGCTAAGTCTGTATTTATGCCACGAATTCTGAAAGACACACGTTGAAGTATACACGCATATTTTAAAATACGTATAGTGATTGCGTAAATTCCCTTTCATCCAAGTAAAATGCCCAAAGGGTAAAAGTCTGGGAAGCACTGATTGTAGCTGATCTGTTGCTGTAACACAAGGTACCTGATAGTTGAGGCAGGATTGCTGTTTCTCACAAATTTATTAATGCAGAACATTCTCCCCTTTTTCTGGATACCTAATGGTCATTTAGTTTCTCAGTAATTTCTTACACTTTCAGTGAATAAACTAAACAATGTCTTTTTGATTTCTGTGCAGAAAGAATTATGAAGAAAGACGGATTTTAAACTGTCTTTCAGTCATCCATACTGATTAATGTCTGTACAAGACAACATTTAGTATGCAAATATATCATTGTAAATCTTGAGCTGGATTATATATGCAAATTTAACTGCTGTTGGTTTCTGGCATTACTGTGATGCAGTTGAGATGCCTAGGGCGGTATTCTTGGTACAGAGTGAACACATACATACAGCTTAATCCAGACAATGGCTTTTAATTGTTTGCTGCCCTCTTTATCCTGTTGGAGGAGGAGGACTGAGGGCAGGAAGATTATCTGGTCATTAAAGCATTTCACCAGGAATCATGAGACTGGTTCTATTCCTAACGCTGCTGCCCAGCCCACGACCTCGGGCAAAGCACGTCACCTCCCTGTGCTTCTCCGCTCCCCTAATGCTGGGTGAGGGGAGGGGGACGTCAGGCTTTTCCCCAACTTACGCTCTTTGTGGGGATTTCTGCTCTAGGGTTATGTGACGTGCTCTGTGCCTCCTGCGTGCGGGCACTGTTCAGAAGCGGCTGGTGCTCTCAATGAACGATGCCTTTGCTTTTAAAGGATGGCCCCAGAAGTTGCAGCGGTGGAAAAGAATGGTGGATATAACCAGCTCTGCGATATCTGGGCGGTTGGCATAACAGCGATTGAACTTGCAGAGCTTCAACCACCCATGTTCGATCTTCACCCGATGAGGTCTGCTGGCTGGGAGCTTGCTTATCTCCAGGACCCTCTTCAGTCCCAGCAGGGACTGTTATGATACAGTTTAACCTCTGTAGCTCAGACCAAGAAACTCATGCTAGAATTCCTTCATCAAACATCTACTTTCAGCGTGAGCTGTGTCTGTTTTTAAGAGATCAGCCTGAAGCTAAAGACTTAAATTTAGAATTGAAATGATAACCAAAATTTTAAATTTTTTTTAAAAAGCTTTGTAGTGTCATCAATAGTCTGATTAAGAATAGGTACAGATTTACTATCTAGTGATAGTAAATCACTAGAGAAGCTGTAACCTTATGCTTAACAGGATTATGCATGGCGATAAAAAGATCTTATTTAAAGATAAGAAAATCAACAGCTTTACTGTGCCTGTCCTCTAGTACAGTATAGACTGTAATCCAGTTTCACCAGTATGATTCTTACTGTAAAGTATTAAAGTGTTTAGATATTGGAATGAAATTAATTATTTTTTTACCATATAATAACATTATTTTTCCTTTATCTTTAGGGCTTTGTTTTTAATGTCAAAAAGTAATTTTCAACCGCCAAAGCTAAAGGAAAAAGCAAAATGGTAGGTTAAACTCTTTCCTTTGTGCAATATTTTGTAGATAGTGTTATAAAAACTATTTGTCATTATTGAAGAAGGAAGGCAGTGAAAAATAGTTTGTGCTAGTTTTAAACTCGGGAACCTGAGAGGTGATTTCACTTACAGGAAGTTTCACTGAGAAACAACTAGTTGGTTTTTGTAGGTGTGTGAAAGCAAACGGGAGGGTTAAGGTCCAGCAGCAGACCTTCTCTGACATGACAGAAAACCAGCAGTGTGGGACAGGGCAGCCCTACCTTTGTAAATTGATCCCTGCCAGCGATCCAGAGGGAAATGAAGTCTCCCTTCTTCGATCCTCTGTGTATGTTCTAGGAAGAAAAATTATTTTTATCCTTTCCCCTTAATTCTTATTGTAGGGTATTTACCAGGGTCAATGGGACGGGTAATCATTTAATCCTTTCCTGATTTCTTTAACCTGTGATACCTTCCTAGTGCCTGCAGGATTTTGTACCACACTTACCAACATTTTATTTATGAGACTCAAAGCAATTCTAGTATGCAGGATTTTTCCCTCTTAATGCTCCCGTACAATCTTTTTACCCTGAGGTGTTCAGGTGGACAGATATGTGCTAGAGGAAGGGAGAAAACACTTCTGAGTGCGTGTTTCCTGTATCGAAACCGCGCGGCGTAACCCCAGCCAAGGCACTTTACTTCTCCAGTGCCGCCCTCTCGGGTGCTAAGACCAGAAGTGGAAATGTGTTTTGTAACTTGATTTGAAAGCAAGCAGATGTGGGCTCATATTGTCCCCCGAGAGGCATACTAACAGAAATGCAATTGCGAGGAAAGTGCTTGAAAAGTGTAGGACCAGTCGTAACATCAAGTCAGAATTTGGATCTAAAAAGAGGTGGCATGACACAGTCACCTAAGCTGTTCTGAAAATAGCAACAAAGCATTTTAAAGAGTAAGTTGAGTCTCTGTGTAGAACTTCATGTTTTATTTTCTTACCTGTAGGTAAGAACAGTGAAATTTGTAGGCTTGCCTAGATTTTGAGGGTTTAATGGGTACATAATTCACATTTTTTATTTCTGATACCTAATTCTCTAACAATTGAAACTGGAAAAATTTGAAATAGTACCGTATGTGTTTGGCTTATTTTCTGTACCAAAACATTTTCCATGCAAGTTCCATGAATCAAATGGGCTTTTTCCTATTTTCTTAACTTGAAAATGTAATTATTCAAACCTCAGATGAGGTACCTGGACAACATTCTAATTCAGCACACCCTTCTGTAATCTGTGTAGTAACTGTGTTAAAATCAAATATATCTTCTTGAAAAATTAATCATAAAACCTCATTTTTCTTTAAGGTCATCAACATTCCATAATTTTGTCAAAATAGCACTTACAAAAAATCCAAAGAAGAGACCAACAGCAGACAGACTCCTTTCTGTAAGTGACTTGGAACGTTTAGTGGCATCAGTAAGAGATCTCTTGCTTCAAAGTGAGCAACAGATCAATAGGAAACAAAACTGGAACCATTTTCTTTCTCTGATCTTACAACACGGGTGGTGAAATCTGAAGGAAAAAGACATTGGTCAATGGTAGGAAGTGGCAAGATTTTATTCAGTATCAAGATTTTTATACAATTTTTGGTAGGAGCAATTACAGAAATTTGCTTCATGTTCTGTCTTCAGCCTTGTCCTCTCTGCAAGTGGGTGTCTCAGCCTCTTGGATACAGTTGCGTACACGTTGACCCTTCCCAACACCCAAATAAACAGATTTATTTAGCAGTTGTTCATGTATCTATTTCTGCCTTCCTGAACTCAACTGAACTACTGATGTAAAAAATGGCGTTAAGTTGTAATTGTTTGTTTGACTCGAGAGTTTAATTTCCAATTTACAAGTGGCCAAAAGTGTGGTGCTTCCATGCTTATGGAGGCATTAGAAAGTCTAGCCATTAAAGAAATACTCAAGCCCCCAGAAAGCAGGCAAAATTCAGTAACATTCTATATTGGATGTTTAGTAATGAAAGTTACGTATCAGTTGTATATTATAACATGTTCTCAGTTGCATATTATAACATGTTCTTTTCTGTGGTTCTAGCATGGCTTTGTAGGGCAGCCTGGTCTTTCAAGATCTTTAGCAGTTGAGCTGTTGGACAAAGTCAATAATCCTGACAACCATACACACTACAGTGAAGTTGATGATGATGATTTTGAGGTGAGAACATCTTTTATTTTCTGTCTTTAGGTAAAACTACGGTTTAAATACCTTGCTTTGCTTTGAGAATGTGAGATTGCAGCTTGACAGGGGCACTGCCCCAACATTTTGAGAGCTCCGCTAAATGTGAGATTGCAGCTTGATATGAGCACTGCCCCAACATTTTGAGAGCTCCGCTTTTAGCGTTCCAGTGCGGGAGAAGCCAGGAAATGCCACCACAACGCTTGCCACGCTTGTACTGTGGGTGTACAAAAGGGTCCTGTGCACAGGCTGTGCAAGGCTGGGGCAAAGACGGTGCACGTTACAGTGTGTGACTGGAACAGCTATTCTTTCTCCTTGTTGGTTTGATTGTTGATTGAGATCCAACAGAAAGCCACACGAGTTTTCTCAGCTTTTCCATTTATAACCCTTGCAGCCTCACTCCGTTATCCGCCATACAATTCGTTCTACGAACAGGAACATTAGGGCAGAAAGAACGGCATCGGAGATAAACTGTAAGTTCCTGATGTGCTTTGCCCATTTTGTGGTGTTGGTTTGCTTCTACCGATGGAGGACGTTGGTGTAGTTCTTTGGTTGCGTACTCTGGAAAGTCACTTCTGCTGTTCGCACATTTGAGAAACAACACCAGAAGAAACAGCACATACACATGAATCTTCAAGAATATTTTTCCAAAACCAGAATTAAAAGTTGCGTATTTTTCTGCTGTTTCATTCCATCTCATTGCTGCATCGTAATGTTTATGTGGAAACCTTGCATGACCAGCATAGCCTTTGAGCTCTGTGATTTCTGTCAGACCATGCAGCCTTATTTGAAACAGCAAATCCACTAATAACTTGCAAACATCAAAAAATTAGAGCGAGTTGATAATTAGGAGAGCATCTTTTCACATACAGAAAAACCGTAGCATTTTGTGTTTGTCTGCATATTGTTTCAAGTTCGTAAGTCAAACCTTTTCTTCACCCTGATGGAGCGCTTGCGCTTGCAATAGCTGTTGTGACCGGAGTGCGTGTTAACATAATGCGTTTTCTTTTAATATAACTTTTTCTTTTCTTCTAAAAAACAATATTAATACACTACTCAGTTGGATCTAAGTTGAAATTTTGAGGGTAGAAACGGTCTTTCTCCAGGTTTGGACAAATGTGTTTTGTAGTGTATATGCTGTCCACTTCTCTGCAGCACGTACATCACACTTTTAGGAAGCTTGCTGTTAAAAAACCTTTTTCCTCTCTTTCACATGCATTGAAGGTAACATGTAGTTACATCCTTATGTTTTAGTGTACTTCCATGTGATGACTTGGTATTTACTTTTGGTCTGTTTCTTTCTTGTGGTTTTCGTAGTTACAAATTTAAGCATTTAGACAATAATGATATACAAATGATGGTCATATCTTGTAGGCAAATTAAGTGTTGTGTACATAATATTTAGATATGTTACAAAATGCATTTCACTGTAGTAAGCGTTGAAAGAGCACTAGTATAATGTTGTGTGTATTAAATTTAAAAATGTGATGTTTTCTAGTTGATAAGCTGCAGTTTGAGCCCCCTCTACGGAAAGAAACAGAAGCTCGGGATGAAATGGTAAGGGCAAGTTTGGTTTTTCCTTCATTTATTAAAATCATAGTGTCTTCAATGTTTTGTGGTTCAACTCATAAGTAATATGTCTCTGAAGTACAAAGTCATGAGAAGACCACTCTTGGTCCCCAGACAATTGCCACATTTTAAAGAAAATGGATCGCTCTCCATGCTTTGTGCAGGAGAGGCATGCTCAGATGAAAAAAGCCAACATATGCCAATTAATTTGGTAGTGTGAAGAGGCTACCATTCTGCATTTGAGTCCCTGATCTTCCCATCATCAGGGTTTATTTGGTGCTTGTTTCTTGGAAGACTGCCAGCTTGCATGCAGCCAGTTTTGCCCCCTGTGAGCTGCTGCCGTTTGTTCCAGCCCTCAGCAGTTTACTGCAGATCAGCTAATTAACGTTCTTTGGGCTTAGTACCTGCCTGTGTACACAAGGGCTCCATTTTTTAATAAGTGTTGTCAATAGCAACAACTGCCGTTTATTTGGAGACATTAGTGCTCAGCACTCCAGAAAAATCCCATTCCTGTTTTTTGCAGCTGTACTCCAGTTCACCAGGTAGGTTCTAGGTCATCTTTTCTTGAATGTGACTGGTTACATCTGTACGTGTTGTTACCGGTGGGGTCCCCTCAGTGCCACATCTAGTGAGAGGAGCGCTCCCAGCCTCTGCTGATGGCATCTCATACGACTTTGGAGGTGGCTGCAGTACGTTCTCTTGCTGGAAGAGTGTGTTGGAAGTGCCCTGAGTGGAAGATCCTTACTGAATTTTCACCATAGATTTTTGCTTTCATGTTACTTATCACCACTTGATATTGGCATTATACCATTTCCAGGTGCTGCTTTTAAGTCTGAGTCTAGGAAGAAGAAGAGCTTTTCAATAGTTGCTTTATAATTAGATTGTAAAACATTATTTCATTTTGGAATTTTATTTTCCTGCTTATGGGTCATTCTGCAGGGCTTGGGAATCTCCCAGGCCTCTTCATGTGCTGTGGATAAGGTGCTCCGGTTTGATGGGGGTCAAAAAATGAAAATTTCTCCATCTTCAGGTTGTGGCAGCTGGCACTGACTTTGCTTCGCATTGGAATCCTTTTGTTGATGGTGGAAGCAGCAAGTAAGTACAGAGTTTAAAAATATCTTTTATTTCTGTGACTTAATATGAAAGTGCACTCTGAAAGAAAAATTGAACTATGGTGGAAAAATCAAACCTAATAACCCCTAATCCTCTTTAATATTCATAAAGTTAAAGGAGGTTTTACCCAGTATGCAGTCCTCCTTCTGCAGTTGGTTGGTCATCTCTTGGGGAATGACTTTATTCTCTTTTAACCATGAACACTGGTTTGTTTAAAATTTGTTGTAGCTCCCCAGTAGATGGAAAGTGAAGTGTAAATGTATGGCCAGCACACTGAAATAATACAACCAAAGTCAATTTTCTGAAGCAAAGCTGGTAACCTTGCAAGGGCTGAGTTCAGGATCCTGCGTTGGCCTTGCGCTTCTCTTCTGAGCCGCGGCTGTGGTTGTGACATCCTGTGACAAAGGGTGTTCGCAGCCCTGAAGTCGGGTCCTTGCAAGAAAGGGAAGGAGAAACCAGTTTGAAGGTTTAGTTTTACCAGGTGCAGTATGACCGCTTGTGCTGTGGGTGTCTGAGCAGTGTAATCTATAATACAGTCGTGTATTAATATAGATCATCAATGTATATAATCATGTGTATCAATCATATATATATATCATGTATTATCTCTATCCTCAATATATATAATCGTATAATACAGTCATGTACAGTGGTTTGGGTTGAAATGTTTTCGGCAAAGATATACTATAACTTATTTCCCCTGGGATAAAGCAGGCCTGAAGTAGGGGAGGACAATTCTGTCCAAGTTAGGACTGAATTTATTAGGTATGTGGCTTCCTTTTGGTGCAAAATACTGGATTCTGCCTGTAAAGGCAGTTTTTGCATTTGCAAGGGAGAATATGGAAGTTCAGGAATACTGACTGATGCACATATGTAGAAAAAAGGTATTTTGGTTGAAATAATTGCTCAGCTAAAAGAGCCTGTTTCCCATCTTTATTTGGAACCGAGTAGCAGACAGTGAATTTCTTTGGCTTTTTGGCAGATAAAGTCTTGCGTAAGCTGTCAGCTGACATTACAGCCCCCTGGAAAGCTGGCCGTGTCACGGAGCTTGCCAGTGTTTGGGTCTTTTTAAGTTCAACCTGTTTTTCCGTTCTCACTCTCATTGTAGTAAAAGTTTGGGGTGGCTCTCTAGGCCCTGTCTTTCCCTGTCCAGTAATGACACCGACTGCTTTCCTTCCTCTCTGGGTTGGTTTGGGTGACCCTGATGAGCTGCAGATTGAAAGCCTGTCTTGGGAGTCCTGGCTTTTCTGCCGACAGCTGGAATCTGCCGGGTCGAGGAGCAGGGAGGGAGGGAGGGAAGCTCCTCCGGACAAAGTGACTTATTGATTGGATTCTGTTTCTGTAGCGTTATTAAGATTGTCTATACCAGGCTGTATTAAAAGCAGAATGAATGTAGCCGTAGCAAACATTGCTAGGGCTATAAATCGGTAAATAGATACAGATTTAGTATTGAAAGGAGGGCAGGCATAAAGTTTCTGGATGGTGCATCCCTGCTGCTTACTTGGAAACCACTTCCAGTTTGAAAAGATAAACAGGAAACACATAGCTCCTCGGTCCCGGCAGTGCTGAGCAATGCCAGGGCTGTACGGAGAGGATGTGTGCTGGGGTCCTTGCTTTTCGTGCCCTTTGGCTTTCATGGGAGTGAATGGGGATTAGTATCTTCCACTCGGGAATTACTTGACTGGGAAGGGGAATACTAGAATGCGTACCTAATGATTGACCTTGTTTTGTGTTTTTTCTCATCCTTGTTGTAGCATTTTAAAATTACTTTCTTGTAAGTTTTCTGTATTATGGAGGTGGGTTTGGTTGATGGTTGGACTTTCTCTCTTTTACGTTTTTTAATAGTTCCTGTTGGTAACTGTCTGCTGCTTTCCCTTCAGAAGTAACTTGCAGGGAAATTTTACATTAATCCAAATTTGGCTGGGTTAGTTTTTGTAGAATATACCTTTGTTTTCCTGTTCGTTACCCCTGTGGTCATTCCTCAGTGGGTGATGTGGCAGGGTGTGGGAGTCGGGGGGGTACGGGGGTCTCTGCTCTGCACGCAGAGGCTCGGACTGCACCAGGCTGCGGCAGAAGCCTGTCCCTGGTTGAACCCCGACACGACCAGCTTTGGAGCTGCCTCTCCACCTCACGGTTCCTAAATGCAGAAGCCTGAACTTCACAACATCACAGCAGCGTGCTCAGGAATGCTTTTTATTGGGTTTAGATTTATGGCTTAGATTTTTTTAGATTTAATGCAGTTTATTATTTTTTTTTTAAGACACAGCTTGAACATTGCCATTTTGCAACATTTTATCAGTTTTTGTTTGATTCAGGATTATATTTTCAGTGCTGCTTTGATCCTCTAGTCACCGTTTCCTTTTTGACCCTGGGGTAGCTTTGAAACAAAAATTCCCACTGTGATGGGAAACAGTCCATGTCTTTGGTGTATAACACTAAAGGAGGAAACGTCCCTTTTCTCCATTTGTCTCCCAGTAACTTCCTCTGATCTCATCTGGGTTTTTTTCTTTTATATTATACCGTTGTTAGGCATTTCAACAATATTTAAAATACCAGGGAGGGAAATGAAAGATGAGTTGATGGTATCTGGTATGGAAAAGAGCTTCGATGATTACTGGGGGGTGAGGGGAAGGAAAGGAAAGCGCTGTGCTAAATGAAAAAGGGCGTAATGCAGCGAATGAGAGAAACGCTTTGTTTTGAAAAGGGCTGGGAGATGCTTGTTGCGGAACTAAAAGACGTCACTAATCGGTTTAGTTGCACGTGTCGACCTTAGAGCAGAGCTTTTAATTTTATAAACGTTTTACCTAGGGGACTGCTTACAAAATTTGGCGATGGGAGTGAAGATGTTGAAGAGTGAGTGGACCTCCTTCACGTACAGTTGTGTTTACTCCGTGCGGCTCTCGCTAAAGCAGGCAGCGTTCTGGCAAAACCTCTTCCCTTAAAATGCTGCAGGCAGCTTTGCCACTCAGAAATAAGTGAGGGCTGGGTGCCCTCAAAGGTCTAACGCACGCTTGACTGTTTATCTGATTGTCAGGAGAATGTCCGCAAAGCAATGCTTTCTTCCCTTGCTCTCCTTCCTGAGGTTGTCTTAGAGTGCATATGGAAGCGCCTAATACTTCGAAGCAGATTTTGTGTTGATTAATCCATCAATCATGAGCCAGGCCTGGTAGTCATAGGACGTGCAGATAGTCCTGCAGAGCTCTGGTGGGGTATGTGCAGCTCCTCTGATGCCCAAATGTTTGTCTGATTCAGAGCAAAAGCTGCAAACTGCACCAAACTAGTCCCTGAACGCGTATTTATTTGCGAATTTCAAATACCCGTCACCACAGAAGCTCTGTAACATTGGCATTTATGAAAGAACATGAGTTTATCAAAACCCAACACTTCTAACAAGATTAACGTGCTTTTTCCCCACTCTTGGACTTCTAGTTTAACCCTGTTCATGCAAAGCAAAGCTGTGATCCGTCTTTTCTATGCATCTGGCTCGTCTCATTTACTGTCTGTGTTCTCAAGTCATTCTGTTTATTGTTGTTGGTTTAACTAAGACGACTACTGCACCTTTTCATTGTAGATCAACGCTAAAGCGAGCAGGGCCGCCTCCACTACCTCCTAAGGTAAGAGATGGTGGGGTTTTAAGAGTTTTAGGTGGCAAACCCCGCTTGCGCAGCCCCTGCAGTGCTTCTGACCGATGCTCTCAGTAGGTTATAAATTCTGTTAAATATCATTTGCGAGCAGACTTTGTGCAGCTTCCTATTTTATGCTGACTTGCAGTCTGTACGATCTCTACTTCTGGGCACTCCTGGCTTTGTACGCTGCTGCCCTAGACAAAGTGACTTGTAGGTATTTTCCCTGTGAAGAGAGCATGCTGCGTGGGATGTCCTCTTGCTCAGCATTCTGCCTGCTGCTGTGATTTTTCCATCAGAGAAAGGCATACCTCTGAGATTATTCTGCTGTCAAATGTCTTTTTTCAAAGGCTGATCTTTTTTTTTTTTTTAATGTGGAAGCAGCCTGACTTGAATTAAACTTGTCTGAAGTTTATGCTTCCAACTGCCATTTCCCAGGTAACCTTCACCTCTTTGGTTTGTTGCAGCCGAGAATAAACAGTTATCCTGAGGAAAACCTCCCGGATGATGAGAAATGTCAGACAATAAAACACTTCCCAGACTCGCAGAACAGAGCCCCACCAGCTCACAGGAGACAAAGTATCCCTGTTTGTGGGCCTCAGGCTGATTCTTCCTCCGTTGGGATGACCAGCAGCATCAGTAGCCCTGGATTGCTCACAGCTAGATACAGCGACTTAGGTAAATGCATTACGTTTCCGAAAGGTGACTTGCATCCCGTAAAAGGAAATCGGTTCTAGAATCAGCTATTTTGAGGAGATAATTTTTTTAATACAAGCTGATCACAAGGTGCAGCTTTCCTTTTTTACATGGGTGCTGGTTCTTATCAGAGCCATGCCCCATGGTGGAAATGTTCTTCCCAAACCAAAGATGCTCAGCCAGTCAATACCATTACTGTGTTGCCTGCAGGAATAGCAGAAAAACAGCAAATGTGCCGGGAGGGTCTCATCTGCGAGGACCTTGCCACAGGTTTATTCTCAGTTGTGTTTGGCCCAGGGACTGTTTGGATAATGAAAAACCTCTATTACTGTGCAGCTTAGCACGCAGAAGAGTGGCCAGCTGTCCTTGGAAGGGTTCAGCTACCTGAGATGTGCATATGGAAGTTTGAGAGCTCGCTTCTCCCCTCCTGCTCGACGCGAGGGAGAAAAGAGAATAGGACAACAAAATATTTTGTATTTCACTGTGTCGAGTGAGCCCCAAAATGTGTCTGGGCTTCCTTTCAGGAAATGGGGAACGCATGCTGAAACTCATTGAAGAAAATGCAGAAGGGTCTGGACAAATCCCTCAACTGCCACGTAAAAAGGAGAAAAGAGATTATCCTGTAAGTATTGTGACACTCAGTCTGATTTCACTGTCATGTTAGCTAGCTAGTTTTATATCGGTGTGTGGGAGGTATTTTATGATCTTTCTTTCTTCCCACAGAAGCCAGCAATCAATGGTTTACCACCAACACCGAAGGTGCTGGTAAGAAATCTCATTTGCAGTAGGAGTTATTCGAAGCCTGCCGTCATGGCATCTCTAGTGTCAGAAGGTTTATGCTAGAGTAAGCCACCAGCTCACCTGGGGTGATTTTCTGCCTCTCCTAGCCAGTTACTTTTCGTGTACTGAATCCACGATACTTGTTTCCTTTGTTTAAAAACTTCTGTGCTGGTTTTGGCTGGGATAGAGTTAATTTTTTTCATGCTAGCTAGTATGGGGCTATGTTTTGGATTTGTGCTTTCACCGTTCAGGCTGGATGTGAAGGGTTGGAGACTTCACTGGCTCTGTGAGTTGTGATCTCCAGTGGCAGTCCCTGCTTAGTAAAGAGAACAAGAGAGAGGTGGTAGTGATGCGAGAGGGTGTTATTACTTCAACATTTCTGCTTGGTTTCCCTTCATATGCCATTTATATAAGCACTCGATATTGTTCTTACCCAGTAGGTACTTAAAATTGTTCATGTCGTTTTGATCCCTCTGTGTTTCTTAATGTGTATGAAGTCTACGAAAAGGTTTGAAAGGCTGCATTGTAGCTTTTGTGGAAGATAAAGATGTTTTGCGTGAAAGTGTATTGGAGTAAGGTTGTGTGTGAAGAAAGAGAGCAGCGGTGTGTACAGATGTGTACTAAGTGTCCAGGTGCCAGAAGATAAACACTTTATACTGCAAACTTGTTTCAGGTTTCAGTTTTGTGTCTTTCAGATGGGAGCTTGTTTTTCCAAAGTGTTTGATGGTTGTCCTTTGAAGATTAATTGTGCAACATCGTGGATACATCCAGATACTAAAGGTAAAGCTATTTTAGGTTTGTATTTTAAACCTTCCTGTTGCCAAAGTGCTTGTGAGCTTGTGAAATAATCAAGTTTCTCTTAAATTTTTAGATCAGTACATTATCTTTGGCACGGAAGAAGGTATCTATACTTTGAATTTGAATGAACTTCACGAAGCAACAATGGAACAGGTGATTTTTGGTGTATTGAACACACAGAATAGTTTTGGGGATATTATGAAGCAAGAAGGTTTGGTATTAGAGGGGATAGATGGGATACCAGGCTTTGTGACATAAACTGATTCACGTCACAGCCAGCAACAGAAGTCTGAAATTAATAGTTCCCCTCCCTACCTGAATTTTTTGTGGCTGCTTATGTAACACTGCTTTTAAAGGAGTTCTCTGCTAAAACATCTTTCTGCTCCTTGGAGGCAACCGATTACCTGCCCTTTCTCTCTCCATTTGACCTCCACTAGATGGCATATTGCTTCTCCACAGGGTGCTACCAAAGCCCTCAACCAATTAATTTAGCTGGCATTGTTATCACCAATAAATAGGCATTTGCTTCTGTTTTCTTGGGCTCTCTAACCCTTTCCAAAGGCACTTCATGCAATCATGGTATTGTTACATTTGCTTTTTTAGAGTCGGGAGTAGCAGAGTATTCTCAGAAGGGAAGTGTTGGCAGATGCTGATCATGAGGTTTATACCTGTCGGTTTCTAAAGCGGTTCACAAAGGCACTTCAGGCATGTAAAGAGCATTAAATTCGGTCAAGACCTGGTACAGGTCAGAAAGCAGAGGTGGCCGGGTGGGTGAATCTGTGAGTAATAGTGAGAGGAAGATGATTTCACGGAAAGGGCACTGCACAGAGATCTGTGCTTAAGAGGAGAAAGTCCTCTGTTTCAGGGAGCATCACGCTAGAGCACAAAACTCAAGAGAGGCAAAAGAAAAGGGGAAGTGGTTCAGC